GTCTGTTCGCCACTTCTCCGATTGGCGATCTCCGATCAGCCACCGCGCCTTGATTCGGTCCTCCGCCGCCGTTGCCGAGCGCTTCGAGAGGCGATTCGCTACTATGGGTACGTATTTCGCGTTTTCGCTCAGATCCGATCCGATCTGATAATTTTCATCTCACTTCTTGTTTTTTTTTTCTCTTTATTCCTCTACAGCTACTAAGAATTCTTATGAGAGCATCTTGACGACGCTGTCGAAGCCTGGAGGGGGAGAGTTCGGGAAGTATTTCAGCTTGCCGGCGCTGAATGATCCGAGGATCGGTGAGAATTGGATCTCGGCTGAGCTTTGTTTCTTTGGTGAATTTGACGTTGATTTTGGTGTTTGATTTTTTTTTCCCTTTTTGTTTTTAGATCGGTTGCCGTACTCTATTAGGATTCTGTTGGAATCGGCGATCAGGAACTGCGATGGATTCCAGGTGATGGAGAAGGACGTGGAGAAGATCTTGGATTGGGAGAATACTGCACCGAAACAAGTCGAGATCCCATTTAAGCCTGCAAGAGTCCTGTTGCAGGTCTTGCTTTTAATTTTCTTATTTTTTTTACTTGATTTTTTTTATTGAGAACATTCAGTGTTTATAAGCAGGAAGAAAAACTAAAATTTGTAATTTACTTTTTGATGGTACGTAGAAAATTTTACTTCATTCCCTGTAATACAATTCAAGCGAACATTTTGTTCTCTGAAACTTTATACGGGCTATTTAATTTTGTGATTTGAGAATACCCAGACTTGTTCTTGGCCAATAATTTGTTTCAGTTTTTCATTTAGAACTAAACTAGATGGATTTGTATGTATAGTGATTTAATTTTAATTCATTGTTTAATACTTGGCTATATATGTGATGATAATTGGCTTTTTACTCTCTGTCAGGATTTCACAGGTGTTCCAGCTGTTGTTGATCTAGCCTGCATGAGAGATGCAATGAACAAACTTGGTGGTGATTCAAATAAAATCAATCCGTTGGTAAGTGTCTTTGATTGGGAGTTCATGGCAATACAATCGTGAGCATCACTTCATGATACCATTGTTGCTTTATAGGAAATATTTAGTTAGAAAAATCTTGGACATTTTTTTGTTTGCTTGGAGTTTCTACCATGACGTCGAGTTGTCATCTGTGAGGCATAACATCTTCTTTACACAGGTACCTGTGGATCTTGTTATCGATCACTCAGTTCAGGTGGATGTGGCGGGATCAGCAAATGCTGTTCAGGCAAATATGGAACTTGAGTTTCAACGCAACAAGGAAAGATTTGGGTTCTTAAAATGGGGATCCAATGCATTTAATAACATGCTTGTTGTTCCACCAGGATCTGGTATTGTCCACCAGGTAATCGGATAAAATCATTAATGAAGGGTGCATCTCAAATTGATAGGAGTCTTAAAGGAGTTTCTGATAATCACATTATGTAAGAATACTTCTTTGCCCTGTTTTATAGGTGAACTTGGAATATCTTGGCCGTGTCGTTTTTAATAATGGGGGAATGCTTTACCCTGACAGTGTAGTGGGAACCGATTCCCACACAACTATGATAGATGGTTTAGGTGTTGCTGGCTGGGGAGTTGGTGGAATTGAAGCAGAAGCTGTAATGCTTGGCCAGGTAAATTTACTTCATTTATGAGCATTGTGCTGAATACTTCCAACAACAGACGCCCTCACCCTCACATCCTTTCCCTCAGGATGTTTATCCCCTCTTTATGTACCGCACACAAATGTACGCTTTCTTTCTTTCTTTTTTCCCCTGTGTGTGGAGCTACAGAATGAGTGCCATAGGGCAGTATGTTTCTTTTCTGGTCACTAACAGACATTAACAGCCTCTTATTTATTGTCTCTTACTCATTAACCTTTTTACACTATTTTTAGTGGCATTTTAGCAGGGAGAAACTGAATATTATATGAAGCGATGTTCTTAAATTAAAATTACTCAACTTTTAACTAGGTATCTAGCTTTACTAATAAGAGGTCATGTTATTATTTTATGGCATCCTATGATAGAAAGAGAAACAGATCCAAGGTTTTCCATTTCCTGAAGGGTCATAATTGCAAAGGTCAGCAAGAGGGGGTAAACGATAATAGGGACAATTGTTAGGACTTTGGAATAAGGGTTCTAGAGTCTGGTTTTACTATTCTAAGCGAACAGATTTCTGCTATTGATACTGGTTACAGATTTTATCAGTCTCTCCATCATATTATCTTCTAAAAATATTTGGGTTCAAATTGTTGATTTTTTACTATTGTGATATTCTAAGATGGGTATTTTTCATCGTTGATGTTTTCGCTTTCAATGTGATCTCAGTGATTTATTAATACCATCCACAAGTTTCTTTGCTTCCATATGAACCTTCAGTTATCATTGCTTATCCTTGCACACTATATGCAATCAAGTGTAATTGAAAATACCTATTTTTCCTATTTCTTTCCAAGTGACATCTTTTGTTGGCGGAAATTTAGAATAGTACCCAAGCACATTATGTAAGTCACAAGTTTTCTGCTTATGCTGTTCTTTCATAGGAGTGAAGGGACTTGTGATTCTGTTTCTACTTGGTTATTGCATTTAAATTTTCCTTGCCAACGACAAGACAAATGGACATTCCCTTCTAAACAGCAGTACTTTTCCTGTCTGTCAATAAGTATTTTTTTCTGTCTATCAATAAGTGCTTTAACTAACACTGCTTTTCTTTAATCCCCCTATGACTGAATGAGAATGAGATTAAATTACAGCTTCTTTCCATGCACCTATCCTTTGTGTCTTTTCTCAAGTTCCCTAAATTTGTTCCATTTCTATTCCTAATAAACTAAATGTAGACAAAAGTTGCTAGCGATGGTGATTATAAATGCTTTACATTGATTGATGTTGTGGACTAAAGCCTTCTTTACAAATAAAGAAACATGGATTGTGTTTTCTGTTGTTTCAAACTTGGTTTTCCAAAATGCTCTCTCGTTATGTTTTATACTTGTTGGTTTTACCAAATATGTTATCTTTTCTTTTGCAGCCAATGAGTATGGTGCTGCCAGGAGTTGTTGGATTCAAGTTATCAGGAAAACTGAAGAACGGCGTCACTGCTACTGACTTGGTTTTGACAGTAACTCAGATGCTCAGGAAACATGGTGTGGTTGGGAAATTTGTTGAATTTTATGGTAACATGCCTGGACTTTACCTTTCTTGAATACTGATTATTAAGATCATCTCCTTCCACCATTGCTCAATTATTGTTCATATCCTTTGTGTAGGGGAAGGTATGAGTGAACTATCCCTGGCAGATCGTGCCACTATTGCAAATATGTCGCCTGAGTATGGAGCAACCATGGGATTCTTCCCTGTTGATCATGTCACCCTGCAATACTTGAAGCTCACTGGCAGAAGCGATGAAACTGTAAGAAACTAATATCAACTGCAACTGCTTTCATCAATATCTATTTGTAATACTAATAGTCCTCCAACATGTAGGTGGCTATGATAGAGTCCTACTTAAGAGCGAATAAGATGTTCGTGGACTACAGCCAGGTAACTTTACCATTTTGATGTGAAGATCATAAGTTATGTGACTTGTGTAATCTACAAATATGCCATCATCTCTTCTTTCTCAGTAAACCTTTCATTACTTTTATTCAGCCACAAACAGAAAAGGTGTACTCATCTTATTTACAGCTGGGCCTAGAAGATGTGGAACCTTGTATTTCTGGACCTAAAAGGTGAGAATTGCAGGATATACATGAAATATCTGGAATAATGTGTGGTCACCACCAGTTAAAATTTCATCATAAATCTGGACCTTTATCTGTTTTTAAGGGAAAGTGCTTTCTTTTGGCAGGCCTCATGACCGAGTTCCCTTGAAGGAAATGAAAGCAGATTGGCATTCTTGTTTGGACAACAAAGTTGGTTTCAAGGTGAGGTGACACTTTAATTGTTCTCTAGCTATTGAAAATGCGTTGTGATTTCTTATGTTGATAGATATTTGGTAAACAAAATGTCTCCAGTGGAGCTTTCTTTCTCTCATCTGTCTCTGTTTGCTTCCTTTGTTTATCTATTAATATATAGGTTAAATGACATTAGTGCAGGTGCTGTTTATCACAATTATTCGCATTGAAAAATATTGTTTTTATATGTGACATTACAGGGGTTCGCTGTCCCAAAGGAATCTCAAAACAAAGTTGCTGATTTTACCTTCCATGGGAAGCAAGCTCAGATGAAGCATGGTGATGTTGTCATAGCAGCAATCACCAGTTGCACTAATACGTCTAATCCAAGTGTAATGCTTGGAGCTGCTTTGGTTGCAAAGAAGGCTTGTGATCTTGGCCTTGAGGTCGAATATTTCCCTTCTTGATTTATCATCATTATGTTGTATATTTCTCATGCTTCATTTAATCATTGTTCGCATGGGGATATTTCGGAATATGGCCATGTAGATTTAAGGTTCCACCAGTACAAGTTCTCAAAAATCAGATGCATGGATATATGAAGTATGAACATGCACGTACTGCTCGTTTGCGAACATAATAAAAATGCAGAATGCATATATTTTCATCTAAGTTCCTGAATTGATGGCATTGGTCATTGGGCTTTGTCTATAAGCCCTGCAAGACAGCTTGATGGGTCTTTAAGTTCGTTGAGTTTAGGTTCAGTTGTGTCTAGAATCCTAATGTTCCACGAAACAGATTTACAAGAATGCTGCATTTAGGCATTTTTATTGAGATATTACCAGTATCTTATGCAAATGTCGAAGTGTTAGAAGTTGTCCAGCTAGCAAATTATCATACAAAGGATTTTCCTATTTATACAAGCCATTATGGGTAAAACCGTGATATGGGTCCTTTTGGTAATAATCAACCAGTTACATTTCCTTACATATCTAAGCTAAACGTAAGCTATATTATGACTAATACATGTTCTGAATAGAAATCACATAGCATTAATTTTTCAAAAAAGTTTGTCCATAGTGCCTGTTGACCTCCAATGAAATCCAGCCTTTCATGAATGATTCTTCTTTCGAAGGACTTTAAATCTGGCATGAATCATTTAAATGCTGGCTATATCAGTATTATCCTACAAATATGGTTTAACATTCGACTTTCGTACTGTTCAACCAGATTGATCATCTCCATGTGGTTCTGATTCAGTTTGAAGATGAATCTACCATGTAACTTTCTGAAGTTAACAATTGTTTCCATATATCCTTTACCCTGACAACGATAAAACACATTGTCATTGTCAAATAGTTATGGTAGCAAAAATGCGGAACTAGAACAACATCCTATAGTTGCACACTGCTACAAGATACTCGTGATCTTTAACTGTTCATAGTGACTTTCTGGATTGTGTAAATACTAACTAGTTATTAACTGCAGTGACAAATTGACAAAGATTGGCCTTTCCTTTGATATTATGATATGGCACATGACTTTGCGTAGAATCACCATATAGACCATGCTTTTGCACACGCATACGAGGGATAAGAGTGACCAGTCCAGAGCGTCAGATCGAAGGGCTGGTATGATCAAAGAGACTTTTGGCTATGTCTAGAGCCCCCGAGGTATCACAGAACGAGTCAACCGAGGATCTCATTGATTGAATCAACTACTGTGTGTGTCAAATCTCCTGATGGCAAGTAGAATAAGAGATCCTTTCCACTTTTGAGCCCTTACAAGCTCTCCTTCATTCATTAATTTTACCTCTACATAAGTGTGCCCAACTTCATACTGATGCCTTTTAGAAGATGAAAATCGATTCTGTAAGCTACAAAATTTTCCTTATTGTTTTGTATTTGACCTTTATTGTTTTTGTCCTCTCCAAGGCAGTTTGGTCCCTTCCTTTTTGTCTGGCTGTGTTTATTTTTCCCTAGTTGACGCCCAGACGTATTGCATTGCATTTGATGGGTTTTGTTTCACACAACTTCTTTCTGGCGGGAGATCCTTTTCCTGTCGTAAATTCTTTCTTTTGCTTGTAGTAATACCAATATTCCTGTTGTTTGACACAGGAGTTAAGCTTAAAACACTGTTTACTGTGAATAGTGTCTTTCACCGAAATGATATCTGAAAATTGTTTTATGACTTGACAATGAGGATTCTATATTGTTAATGCCTTCAGCATATTTGTGTCAGGTGAAGCCATGGATCAAGACAAGTCTTGCTCCCGGTTCTGGAGTTGTTAAGAAGTACTTGGATAAGAGGTAATTGTCAAAGATTAATGAGATGCAAATTTTTAATTGAATACTGCCTTTGAATTGCGTGTGCTGACATTCAACCTTGGCATCTCCTTTCAGTGGTCTGCAGACCTATTTAGATCAGTTAGGTTTTCATATTGTTGGTTATGGATGCACAACCTGCATTGGCAATTCTGGAGACCTTGACGAATCAGTATCAGCTGCCATCACTGAAAATGGTAACTTCTCTATTTTTTGAGTCATAGGTCCACGAGCTCACTGTTCTCTATTGAAGTAATTACTTTGCTAGATGCATATTACTAATGAAATATGATGTGTTGTTCAGACATTGTTGCTGCTGCTGTATTGTCCGGAAATAGGAATTTTGAAGGGCGTGTACATCCTTTGACAAGAGCAAATTATCTTGCTTCTCCTCCTCTTGTGGTAGCTTATGCACTTGCTGGCACGGTATGCATCCATAAAATCATGTTGCCTATCTTAAATTGTTTTAGCTATATCTAATATTCGTTGTAATTTTAGTTTGTTACTGTGCCCTTGAGGCCCTCACGTGTTGGTATTTGCTCTATTGTTCTTTTTTTTTACATCTTTATTTTTTCCTGATAATAGTACCTTCTCTACTTTCTGAGCAATTAGGTTCATACAGTCCACTGTTCTCTATATAAGCTTTGCTTGATGCATACTAGCTAGGTTACTAGGACACTTTGTTTTTGGGCGCCATATTCGGTCGGACACAGATTCACCTTAGACACGCTATGGACACGTGATTCAAAGCAAAACCCTATTCCCCCATCATAACTAGTTTCTTTGATATATCACGCTCAAAACCAATAGGGTTTTAAATCCGAAAACCGAAACCCAGTACGTAAATATCTGAAAAATACCCATCGTATTCCATGCGTTAAAAAATTAAACCTTAATTCTTAGTTTGATTTAAGATGATTCTTATTTGTTATATATAGTAAAAGAAACATGCAAATGTTGTAGGCATCTTAATTCAATATTTGATCTAATATTAATATTATATACATACAATTCATGCATGCATATACACAGGTGTATGTATGTACATATGTATGCATGTATGGCAAGGACGAAAATTGTTCCTTGGTGCCAAGGAACCACATGGTGATTCCCACCCTACTTGTCACATCAAAAGGTGTGGGTCTCACCTCTTCTATCTCTTGGAAACTCGTTTTGCTAAATGAGCCGCCACCTCATAACCATCAAACCTCTGCGCGCGTGTATGTGTATACCCGAATCCTGCTTTCATAAATTTGTCGTATCTCGTATCCATGTCGCCATCTGTATCTGTGCAACTTACCATAGTAGTAATGAAATATGATGCCTTTCTTTTTTTGCATTCCCATATTTGTCTTCCTGGATTAATAGTGATAATACACTGGCATTGCGACAATTTTGAGTATTAATGTCTGTTATCATAGTTTTGAATCCTTTTAGGGCTTGTTTGGTTGGTTTCTTGGAAACCAAAGAAAAGGAAATAGAGGGGAGGAAACCATCAAAAGAGTTTCCTTTCATTTCCATGCAAAAACACATGAAATGGGTTTCCTTAATTATAGGTCACATCAACCAATGGGAGGGTGCCAAGTCAACCTTCCACTTGTTTTCATGGGGTCAGGAAATAGGTTTCCTATGACACTTTTCTTTGTTTTTCTGCCAACCAAACAGCTCCGTAGACATGCCATTAAGGAATTAAACTGTCCTCGTCAGTGGTAATGAGGAGCTGCAAATCATTCTTTATTTTTATCAACTTTGCTCAGAAAGTCCTAGGTTGGAGTCACAACATTTTCTGATATTGAATTGCAACTGGAAATGGTATGTATGTATGTATGTCTCTGTGCGCATGCGCGCGTGTGCGCGCATGCGTGTGCGCGTCTGTGTGTTTGTGGCTGTGTGTCTGGGGGGATAGGTAGGTAGGTATGTTATGTATGTATGTATGTGTGTGTCAGATGGATTTCTCTCGAATTCGTATAAATCCTAAATTTCCGATTATTATAAAAAAAACTGGTCACGTTTTCCAACGGAGTGCATGTAGACTGTAAATCCTAAATTTCCAATTACCGTCAAAAAGCTGTTCATGTTTTCCAAGGGAGTGCATGTAGACGACTATTTCTTAGCAAAAGCTATATTTTAACTTTTGAACAGCAACTTCTTTGCTTAAAAACTAAATTCATGCTATGGGCTTATTATGAGATTTGAACTATTGCATTATTATGTAACAAAGAAAATCAAAGTCATAAATGACACAAAATAGTCATTGGAGCAAATAGTCAGAAACTTGAAATTTAAAAATGAGAACGTGGAAGATTTTCCCCAAAAAAGAAAGTTTAATAGTCAACTTTACATTCTAATGTGGTGAATGGAGAATTGGAAATCTATCAGTCTGACAAATCTTATTGAGGAACTTGTGTGACACTTGTTATGCTTCGTTTCAATGATCTTATGGTTTGTACTGATCTGTACTTGTTGCGTAGTAAATATTTTGTTGGTAATTTCTTGAACTGGTAACAAACAATGAAATGCCATGCATTCTTCCGGTCATCACTGGTACAAATGACTTTTATAAGAATGATCGCAGATCATTTACTTAAAGCTGCTTAATGTTTGGAGGTTAATTTGTTAATCTGCCGAACATTTTTTTGGGTCTTTGCATTTTAACAGATCCTTGATGTGCCTATATTAGTTTATCAGAGAAGGTTGTGTGTGGATTAGGAACCTGAAGATTATTGTTGTTGTGTTAAATAAAAGAACATCTGAATGATGCTTGTCTGATAGCTTGTTTATCCATTCAAAACTAAAAAGAGAAATGGAACCATTTCTAGGCACAATTAAGATTATACGTACTAGCAAAAAGAATTCTGTCTGAGGGTAGAAGATCTAGATGTGTTTAGGTTAAGGCTTCAACCTACTTATCCAAAATTTAACTTAATGTCAATATTCTTCTGCAGGTTAACATCGATTTTGAGAAAGAACCTATAGGGACTTCTAAAGATGGAAAGAAGATTTACTTCAGGGATATCTGGCCAACCAATGAAGAGATAGCTGATGTGAGATACTAAGCTAATCTAAAATGTTTCCTTCTATTCTAAATGTTCTATTATGTGCATATAGTGGGACATTCTCGAGTACTTTCTAAACGTTAAAATTTGCATATAGCGAGACATTATTGATTACCTTTATCTTATTGGAATCCTCAGGTTGTGCAATCTAGTGTGCTTCCAGACATGTTCAGGAGCACATATGAATCGATTACCAAAGGAAATCCCATGTGGAATGAGCTATCAGTACCATCAGCAATGCTGTACTCGTGGGATCCTAATTCAACTTACATACATGAGCCCCCATATTTCAAGAACATGACAATGTCACCACCATTTTCTGATATTGAATTGCAACTGGAAATGGTATGTATGTATGTATGTCTCTGTGCGCATGCGCGCGTGTGCGCGCATGCGTGTGCGCGTCTGTGTGTTTGTGGCTGTGTGTCTGGGGGGATAGGTAGGTAGGTATGTTATGTATGTATGTATGTGTGTGTCAGATGGATTTCTCTCGAATTCGTATAAATCCTAAATTTCCGATTATTATAAAAAAAACTGGTCACGTTTTCCAACGGAGTGCATGTAGACTGTAAATCCTAAATTTCCAATTACCGTCAAAAAGCTGTTCATGTTTTCCAAGGGAGTGCATGTAGACGACTATTTCTTAGCAAAAGCTATATTTTAACTTTTGAACAGCAACTTCTTTGCTTAAAAACTAAATTCATGCTATGGGCTTATTATGAGATTTGAACTATTGCATTATTATGTAACAAAGAAAATCAAAGTCATAAATGACACAAAATAGTCATTGGAGCAAATAGTCAGAAACTTGAAATTTAAAAATGAGAACGTGGAAGATTTTCCCCAAAAAAGAAAGTTTAATAGTCAACTTTACATTCTAATGTGGTGAATGGAGAATTGGAAATCTATCAGTCTGACAAATCTTATTGAGGAACTTGTGTGACACTTGTTATGCTTCGTTTCAATGATCTTATGGTTTGTACTGATCTGTACTTGTTGCGTAGTAAATATTTTGTTGGTAATTTCTTGAACTGGTAACAAACAATGAAATGCCATGCATTCTTCCGGTCATCACTGGTACAAATGACTTTTATAAGAATGATCGCAGATCATTTACTTAAAGCTGCTTAATGTTTGGAGGTTAATTTGTTAATCTGCCGAACATTTTTTTGGGTCTTTGCATTTTAACAGATCCTTGATGTGCCTATATTAGTTTATCAGAGAAGGTTGTGTGTGGATTAGGAACCTGAAGATTATTGTTGTTGTGTTAAATAAAAGAACATCTGAATGATGCTTGTCTGATAGCTTGTTTATCCATTCAAAACTAAAAAGAGAAATGGAACCATTTCTAGGCACAATTAAGATTATACGTACTAGCAAAAAGAATTCTGTCTGAGGGTAGAAGATCTAGATGTGTTTAGGTTAAGGCTTCAACCTACTTATCCAAAATTTAACTTAATGTCAATATTCTTCTGCAGGTTAACATCGATTTTGAGAAAGAACCTATAGGGACTTCTAAAGATGGAAAGAAGATTTACTTCAGGGATATCTGGCCAACCAATGAAGAGATAGCTGATGTGAGATACTAAGCTAATCTAAAATGTTTCCTTCTATTCTAAATGTTCTATTATGTGCATATAGTGGGACATTCTCGAGTACTTTCTAAACGTTAAAATTTGCATATAGCGAGACATTATTGATTACCTTTATCTTATTGGAATCCTCAGGTTGTGCAATCTAGTGTGCTTCCAGACATGTTCAGGAGCACATATGAATCGATTACCAAAGGAAATCCCATGTGGAATGAGCTATCAGTACCATCAGCAATGCTGTACTCGTGGGATCCTAATTCAACTTACATACATGAGCCCCCATATTGTATCACTACCGACCATATTTCACCTGCTGGCAGTATTCACAAAGACAGTCCTGCTGCCAAATTCTTGATGGAACGTGGTGTTGATAGGAAGGACTTCAACTCCTATGGGAGTCGTCGTGGTAATGACGAGATAATGGCAAGGGGCACATTTGCCAACATTCGTATCGTGAACAAGCTATTGAAGGGTGAAGTTGGTCCTAAAACTATTCATATTCCTTCTGGAGAAAAACTTTCGGTTTTTGATGCTGCCATGGTAATTTCTGATTTGTCTTACACACCCTGATGATTCGAAACTTTTATATCAGACAGCTAACTATGTGCTATTTGTTCAACTGCTCTCCTGGTGGAGTAAATATTTCAATTATTGTGCCTGTTTATCTGGTTGATCTTGGTTGATCCCCTTCTCTTTATTAACATGGCTTAACAGAAATACAAAAATGGAGGACATGATACTATCATCTTAGCTGGTGCAGAATATGGAAGTGGAAGTTCTCGTGATTGGGCTGCTAAGGGGCCAATGCTGCAGGTATAATCAATCTATTTTCTTATGTTTCTGGTCTGAAGTTATATATAATAATATATAGGTATGGAGGAGTAGTATATGATGAGAATATATGAAGTATACTATATATAAATATATATACTATATAATATTATATACTATATATGAGAAAATTGTTATAGCTTGGTACACGAACACACAAAAGTTGTGCTTGTAAAGTGAGGATGGCATAATCCCTCCACTCATATCAAAGGGTTAACAGTATCCTCTATCCCCATAATGCACTCCTCAACCCACGTGAATGGGTCCCCCATGTTGATCGAGTTGAGGGATTGTGCACTCGACTATCCAAGCACGAATATTTTGTGCTTAGTATGGCAACATACCATATTCTCTCTCATCTCTCTCTATCTATCTATATAATTATGATATATATACTGAACGTCCTATAAAATATATGATATAGAATATATATATATATTATAATATATATACACTAGTAATGCACAATGTTGATTACCTTAACTTTTGGTGCAGGGTGTAAAAGCAGTGATCGCCAAGAGCTTCGAAAGGATCCACCGCAGCAATCTTGTAGGAATGGGTATTATTCCCCTATGCTTCAAGGCTGGTGAAGATGCAGAGACCCTGGGCTTGACTGGCCACGAGCGATACACTATCAACCTCCCGAACAGTGTGAGTGACATCAAACCTGGCCAAGATGTCACTGTTGTTACTGATAATGGCAAGTCATTTACATGCACGGTCCGCTTTGACACTGAGGTACATCAAAGAAATCCTGGCTTAGCTTATACATTGTTTTTCTATTAATATGCTCTCTACTTTCATCTAACGATTTATCAATGACACTTGCAATTATTTTCTATAGGTGGAGCTAGCCTACTACAACCATGGAGGAATCCTTCCATTCGTCATTAGAAATCTGATAAGTGACGAGCATTAGTTCTATTTTGATTTTAGGTTAAAGGATGCAAGTTCACTTGAGTCTTGTATTATGAGGTCGTGTTCAAGCCACAAATTTTCATGCGTCATAAGCAGTCTAAATGATCTTGGTTTTTTCTGTTACATACCCGAGAAATAAGCTGGTTCGGAGACGGAAGATAACAAGCAGACATCTTGATATATGCAGTGAATGTAATACAAAACACTGCCTTGGATTTGTATTCATACGTGTTCCTTAACATTTATCCAATCTTCTAAAAGCAATGGATATTGCGCAAACATGATCCTCAATGATCGGTTCTTCAACTGGAGCATGCTCACGCTAAAAGAGAGCTCCTCATGGAGTATAATAAATGCCAATGCTTACTTTTGCCGTTTGTATTTTGTAGTTTGCTAGACTTATTGTTCTTCTTTTCTCTAATTGAGACCAGCTTTTTTTTTTTTCCATTTTCTAATGGTATTATACTTCCAAGGCACGAAGGATTGTAGTTCTGGTATCTGCTCAATTTAATAGCCGTCTGGTTGGTTTATATTTGAACACTGGACCTTTCCCTAAGACCACAGCCTCGTGGATGCTGTTTCTTGTGGAGGAGAGGCTGAACAGTAAATGAGCACTTTATCGGGATATTAAACACAGCAACAGATGTAATTTTTATGCAATATCTATCATCTGCTATTGCTCAGGATGAAGTGTTCAATGTGAATTTACGGTACGTATGACTTTACACGGTTTTGGTGTTTAGAAAATGCAAGCGGCATGCTGGAAATGGCACATTTAGATTTCCCTCATTAGCTGCTTAATTCTTGAGATATTAGAAATATATATATATATATTGGCTGCCAACCCTATACAAACAGTTCCTAGTTAGAAATGAAGTTTTACTGAGACGATGCAAATGCTTATAGGGTTTTATTGAACACGTCGAACAATGAGCAGATTATTGGCAATGGCAGCCCTACGTTGGAAAGTTTTCTTGAACCGAGTAATGTATTTCCCACCAAGTGGAATTTAAATTTTAAGATCACCGTGAACAAAGTTCTGGTTCACCGTTACTCGGATCACAGTAATGTAGGAGTTAGAAAACAGCGTGCCATTTTATCTTTAGGGCCCACTTGTTTTGATTTTTTTGAAGAGCAAAGTAGTGTGAAAGCTGTCAAAACTGATAAAAACTGTCAGTTTTGACATGTTTTATTGCAAAAACGCCTCTCTTGCAAAAACGCCTCTAAAAAGACGTTTTTGCAAGAAAGCCTATCAAAACCGACAGTTTTGATCGGCTTTCCTCTTCAAAAAATCAAAACAAACGAGTCTTACAAGGGTCTACAACGGGTCATTATTGCATGCATGTCAACAAGGATCCCTTTTTTTTCGGAGTAAAATTTGGCAGGTTTATTTAGACCATATGCAGCAGGGGTTATTTGAAGAGATATTTGGTTGCAGCAGGAGTTTTTTGAAAAGGTGAATCAAAAAGACAAGGCCAAGGGGTGAAAATTTCACCCCGGGTATTTCTGACCTGGTGGGCCCCACCTCATTAAATGCATGGCAGGTTTATTAAAAAAAAATTAAATAGAAGCCGCCCAATCAGAAATGGGCACGTGGACGCGTGCATGGAGGCTGCAGGCGCATGCCTACCAGCTACCACGTGGCGAAATCTGATTGGGTGGCAATTTTTGTTTTCCTCCTTAGTTTTAATTGATATTTTTGAGATAAATACAATGAATTAATTTATAATTTTTATACTATTAATTTTCATTTTTCAAACTCTATAAATAGAGATTAACTTTGTGTCATTTGGACACCAAAAAAAATCTGAGTTTCTACACCCTATTCTTCTTCTTTCTACAATTTGAAGCTAGTTTCTTCATGGATCCTTCACAAAACTATCCTAATTTTTCCTACAACTACAACTTTCCTAACCAACCTCAAAATACCCTCCCTCAACCACAACATCCAAATATACAACGCCCCGAAAATACTCAAAATACGGGGATGCAGCCCAATTTTCAAATGCCGTATATGATGCAACCAAATTTCGGCATGCAATATCCTTATCTTCCTTACGGTTATCCTCCAGTTCCGGGAAGTAGCTATGTTCCCTCCCATATGAATTGTCCTAACACGGAGTCGAGTGAGCCAGCGACACCCCGGTTTAGTAGCGGATCTACAGATATCCTAGAATTTTTCATCCAAATGTCTTTGGGAAATGTTGGTGGGGATACTCCTCACAGTTTTCTCCCTCCAACCCAACAATCAGTAAAGAGATCAAGTTATGAAACTTGGACCACCGAAGACAACATACTTTTACTAACTAGTTATTTTCACGTTAGTAATGATAGTGAGTTGGGGAACAACCAAAAGGGTGAAACTTTTTTACTAACTAGTTATTTTCACGTTAGTAATGATAGTGAGTTGGGGAACAACCAAAAGGGTGAAACTTTTTGGGGGTAAAATTACACAGTACGTGAATGAGAACGCCAAAAGTGGAAAGGAGAGGATTGTGTCTCGGTGCCATAGTCATTTCAAAGACATCAACAGAAAGATATCCAGTTTCATTAGCTGCTACAGTACTGCATGTAGGGAGAAGCGTAGCGGTTGGTCCGATGAAAACTACATATCCAAGGCAAGAGAGTTGTACTTTGAGAAAATGGGTACGACGTTTAATTTGGTGGATGAGTGGAAGGTGGTTTGTAATCAACCCAAATATATGACAGGAGGAAATGCATCCGGTAGTAGTGGCTCTAAAAGAAAGAGTAATGGTGAGGATGTTGAATCATCAACTCCTACCCTTGTACGTCCAGAGGGTAGGGACGTGGCAAAGAAGAAAGCTAGAGGTTCCTCTAGTAAAACATCTGTGTCAAGGAAATCAAAGGGGGCAATTGAAGAGGACTTATCTAAACTAGTCAGTGCTCATGAAAAATTTGAAGAGAAAAGATCAAGTACTGCTTCAGCTATGAATAACCTGGCTCATTCCAAGAATATGGAGATGTGGTTATTCTTGAAAAACAAACCAGATCGTGACGATGAAGATGAAGAAGCTTATAATATGTTGAGGAAGAACTTGTTTGGAAAATAAGACCTTCTCAAGAAGTTATGATTGTGTGTTTTCTTTCTGATGTTTTTGTGTGCCGTTTGTTTAATTTTGGAGTTGTGTGGGTGCCTATGTTTGTTGAATGTATTAATAAAAGTGTTGTTTATGTTTGAATAAAATTGTTGTTTATGTTTCAATAAAGCCGATTGATAATGACTTCTCACTGCATAATAGTACAAAAGATACAATTACTACTCACTGCAAAAACAAACAAATGTTGAATTGACCTTTCACTGCAAAAAATACAAAGGATGAAATGACTACACCTGCATAATAATACAAAATATGAATTGTCAACTCTCTGCACATGCATGCCCTATGACACATGTCTCTGATGTTGCATGCCCTATGACACATGTCTCTGCAATTGCATGTGAATTCAATTATTTGAACAACTACCCTTCATTATATAAACTGATCAGATGCACATTATAAGTATACCTATCAACATTTCAAAAATCATAGCATCCAATGGATCCTTTCCTAAATGAGTTTAGTCTAGAAGAGTTCCAACAACAATGGGAAATAGAAGAAAAAATACTTGATAGGCAGCGAGAACTTCTTGAAGAATTGCAAAGGAGAAGCGAACAACCACGTAAGAGGAAATCCATACATAGAGATCATCATGCAGCGCATGAGAGACTCATGGCCGACTACTTTGCCGAGTCATGCACTTACACTGACGCCCAGTTCCGACACAGGTATCGAATGAAAAGGCCTCTCTTTCTACGAATTGTGGACTCTATATCAAATTATGACGATTACTTCACACAACGGCGCAATAATGCGGGCAAGCTTGGGTTAACGCCTATCTAGAAGTGTACGACTGCCATACGCATGTTCGCATATGGAGTCGCAGCCGATGCTTGTGATGAGTACGTCAAGATAGGAGAATTCACTGCTATCGAGTGTACTCGCAAGTTTTGCGAAGGGGTAATAGCATTGTTTCAAGATGAATACTTACGACGACCAAATGTGGAAGACTTGCAGAGGTTGCTCCAAGTTGGACAGGAACGTGGATTCCCAGAATGATTGGAAATATTGATTGCATGCACTGGCAGTGGAAAAATTATCCTAAGGCTTGGCAAGGGCAGTTTACTAGTGGACACAAGGGGACGGCAACAGTTATCCTCGAGGCAGTTGCGTCATATGATTTGTGGATATGGCATGCTTTGTTAGGGCTTCCTGGTAGTTTGAATGACATAAATGTACTAGATAGGTCACTGGTTTTTGACGACATTGAGTCGGGTGAAGCTCCACGGGTAAACTTCACTATGAATGGGCGGGAGTACAATCTTGCATACTATCTTGCCGACGGAATCTACCCTAAGTGGCATGTCTTCGTGCAGTCAATTCAAATGCCCCGAGGCAACAAACATCAATTTTTTGCCAAACAACAAGAATCATGTAGGAAGGACGTGGAACGCGCATTCGGGGTACTCGATCCAAGCACGCTTCGCTATTGTCCGCCAACCAGCTAGAATGTGGGATCTTGATGTCTTAGGAAAAATAATGAGAGCGTGCATTATTTTTACATAACATGATAGTAGAGGATGAACGAGATACGTATTCGCGAAACTGGGAAAATATCAACTTTGAACCGTCGAACAATGCTAGCTTTAGCGCCTCTTTCAATGTTCAAACAGACGTGTTGCCGGAGTTTCAAGTCCATGTTCAACACCGATCTGAGGCAGATAATCAGACTAGAGCGGAACTACGAGATAAGACCCAACATATTCAGCCGAAGAAGGATCTCATCGAGCACATTTGGCAGAAGTTTGGGACAACCTCCGATTAAATTTAGCAATTTAGTGTGTGTTTTCTTTAATGTTTTCAATAATTTGGGTGTGTTTGGTTTTCCGTATGCTTAACAAAATCGTGTGTTATTTTATGTTAATTTTAAAATATTATTGAAAATTAAATTAATAATATATATTTAAATATTATATATTATTTATTGAATTATTAATAAATTATAATTATAAATATATGAGTTATATTAATAATAATAATAATAAAATAGTAATATATATGAAATAGGAAAAAGAATGAATAAATATGGTGGGGTATATGTTGAAGTGATGTAGTTATGGTGGGTCCCAAATAAAGTAAAAAACTTTCTGAAAAATCTCCTGCTTTGATAGGGAAATGAAGATTATTAAATTAAATAAAGTGATGTGGTAGGAGAGAATGAGGTGAAATTTCACCTGCTGGAGATGATCTTAAAGCTGGAGATTTTGGGACCCACTAGCAAATGTCCAGATATCAGCTGGGTATATATAGGTAACAGTTCTCCATGAGGCGCAAACGAGAAGTTCTCCCGCGTCCTGTCAAATTTCTTCAAACCCCTAACCACAAAGTCATCGGCCACCACTGATCCAGCCGACGAAGACATCGATCACTGCGAACAGGGCCTCAAA